TCAAGACAAGTTACAGTTCTAGGTACCTTAAGCTTTGCAGTTTTACTATGACAACTGTATTGGTAGTACATAGGAAGGAATGTTCCAAAAAACTGCACTGGAAAAGAAGCGGGAAAGTCATTTCTCCTAAGCAAATAGCTATCCTTTTGACTGAAGGACATACTTCCAACAATTAGCAGTAGTCGACTAGTCATTATATTAATTGTTTCCGCATCTCGCTGCAGTGTTGTTGCTTCTAGCAGTTGCAGGTGTTAGGAAGATTGTCTCGTATTGTATATGACCCCCTCCCCATAACAACTTCAGTGCAACGGCTGCAAGGGCTCTTTCTAAATTTACATCTTGAAGGAAGGTCCTGAATTAATGTTAAAGCTGATATTTGGGACAATTTCCCCAGCTGCTCCCGCTCAATGCAGCATCGACCCTCGTCCGTAGGCCATGCCATTGTCCCCTACTTAACTGACGAGTCTGATGGTAAGCTGCATTTCCCTTTACACTTTCCGTCTCTAGACTGTTAGCTCCATTTCTCAATAGGTGAGGCGTGGTTATAAAAGAGAATAGCCTCAATAAAATCTGTGGACGTGCGGAAGAAATCAGGCACGCCATCGTGTTGTGATAGATTCTGAAAAATACGACCCCCTAACTCCATCCTACCTATCACTTCCCTAAGTTTTCCCAACTTCTACCACTGTTGCCTATAGCTCCCGAGTAATTTCCTAGTTCTCCTTGATTTTGCTGTCGAGCGGGGGTGGGTAGGTAGATCGTCAGGAAATGAATAATATTTTCAACTATCGGGACTAGTTGTGTGAAAGTTTGGCGGCGCCACCAACTAGGGGGGAAGGAGAGGGGGAGTAATTTCTCTCAGACCGAATAGGACTCCCCTCGCTCGCGGTCTAATGCGCCCCCCCCCTCGTTGTGATTACCACAACCATGGCGTGCCCTGGATTTTTAGCGTCCGCGTTAGCCTAAGGGAACTACAATCAGTACTGCACAAATCATAATCATAACAGTCTTAGGTTATATAACAGCCTTGCTTTACCGATATGATAATCTGGCTCGGTGATCTCTAATAAACTGAGACCGCTTCATACCTAATTAGGGCTGTCTCATTATTAGGGAGGGATACTTAACAAGGTGTGAAATGGAGCGAGTCGTAAGATATTCACTGACCCTACATAGTTCAAACAGAAAACCAAGTTTGGGTTAAATTCTGGTGAAGCCACCAGTCTTACACTCACGTCAAATACTTCCGGCAATGAGAGATAGCCATTTTTTTGGAAGCTGAAGAAACGTCGGAGAAAGAAGGCGTTTTGTAGACGTTTGAGACGGTTCAGGAAACAGCGAGAGTATGCGAGGTGACAACACAGACATTTTGCTGGACGCTGATTTAGAGGCCTGAATAGCACAACTTTCACCGAGAGATTCATACGTTATTGTAAAAGCTTTCTGTTCAAACTCACAAGCTGAAAAGAAGGGTTTGCTCGGACCAGTAGAAAATGATACGGTCACACCTCGTTGGTGATTTCTCGCATCAAGGGTACGAGACCTTAACGATGTGCGAAGTGACCTCATTAAGCAGAGAAACGTCGTGCTTAACTGCGGTAAGATATTTAGGACATAGTCCACTATTTTTCATTTTCAATGGTTCTTCTAGGTTCAAGGAGAAGTTGCTGAGCTACCCACTAATCGGCATAAATCTAATGAACACTCATCAGATGGAAAGAACATGAGGTTTACGAGAAAAAAGACAAAAAGTCTGGCAAAACATGTTTGCACTACACTGCCAAACTAGCAGCCGCACACCGCGTTCGATCTTGCTGTGCCTCCACACTGCCCGTCCTCTGGACTAGTAGCTCGCCCTTATGCACGGATGCGTGGGCCGCGTGCACTGTTTCGCCAACCGCAAAAATCGACTGGAACCAAAGCGGCGTCCGCCCGCAAAAGAGCGACGGCTCCGCCTACCTCCATCACCTGCCGACCCACCGCCCCCACCCCACCTTCATTTCTAATGGCTTGGCTGATGGATGCGCGGTCGTCTCCACTTGCTCGCTTCTCTCCCGACGCTGCAGTGGGCGAGAGTGCAGGGTGAATCAAGCCGAAACAAGCTGACTATCACACTAGTGGAAACTCGTGGCCAATCCACTCCTCTCTCTCTTCGCCTTAAGCAGTGCAACCGTTTGTTCCGGTACTGAAACTTCCTTTCTAGCGCGCAATCTTTGGCGTGTTTTTCTCATTCCATTTTTCTTCACTAACAGCCTTCTTCCGCTAACCCTACCCTCGCCGCCTAAATTACTACCTGACGCCGCCACAACTCATTAAATTGAACGCGAGCGCTGGATTTATATGAATACAGTGTAATTTAGCTATTTCACTGCATCATGATGAAAAAGTGTAACCTGCCCGTCATCCAGATTGTAACGAAGAACGACTCCACAATCGCTAGACGTCAGTACAAATTTTTCTTTGTAAGGCGTAAGTACGACCTCTCCAAACACGCAATGTCACAACCAGAATCGGCCCCTCGAACCGCTTGGCGCCCTACTCAGCGACAACCCTACCCATCCCCGAAACCTCGCGAAACCACTTGTCGCCGCACGCGTCAGATAACCTCGTCAAACGATCCGACTACGCCCTCACCGTTATCCAACACCTCAGTTAGCATCAAAGTTTAGCTTAGCAACCCACCATAGGCGCCAGCGCGAAAGTACCCTAAATCTCAAGTTCGCAGGGAAAGTGCCCCTTTGGGTAGCTCAATCTCTTGAACGAACATCTACATGCGGATGCCAATTTGAACTTAGATATGCCGGCAGAATGGAGGTACACGTGACAGCGCAGTAAGCTGACTTGTTTGCACCCTTCTTCCGGGATACTAGTCTGTTCCGCAGCAAAGGTTATGCCTTACATTAGCAAAGTGGGGGACCATTGTCTCAGCGTCCTGGAACACAGAACGGGTGGCTGTCTCCGTCTGCCGTATCCTCCTCTCTTGGCTCTCGGCCCCAAAAAGCCCAACATCCTGCAGCCACAGTCCGCCAGAGTCAAAACCAAGCATGTACTATCGATGCCTCTAACTCGAACATGTTGTAATCAGAAGGACGACTACCCCTGTGGAGAAGTCCCCAGCCGAATGTACCCACGGAGGAAAAATCAGAAAAAATTTAGCCCGTTTTCGAAAGAATGCATAGAAAGGGACCGCGACATGCCCTACCATTTGTTCTCGTTTTAGAAACAATTGTTTGTTTTTTTTTCAGGCAATAATCGAAATACCAGTCCTCATCATTCCGCGGCCGGTGTGCGTCTGTCAGAGCGGCCTGCGTTCGCGCGCCGCCACACATGCCCAAAGTCCGTCCTCACCCAGTTGTGGCAGCGCGGCCAGTGACTTCACTCCCCGTATCCATACATCCTTCCGTATCTACTCTCCCGTCTTCCTGCTACATTTTTGTCCGCATAGCGGTTTCAACAAAACACGCTGAGAACGCGCTTCAAACACCGCTGTCGAACACTTCCATACTGGTGACACTCCGCCCACCGCGTCCGCAGTGGTATGAGGCACTGTATACTAGCAATCCTCTTTAGCCATCTTTTAAATGGATTTGTGCTGATTTGTGACCCACCCTGCTCCTCTCAGCGATTTCACTGCAGTTAAGCATGGCATTTCTAGGCTGAATGAGATCACTTCGCATCTCTTTAATGATGCCTCACCATAGGTACGAGAAATTATCAACGATGTGCGATCGTACCATAGCAAGCCTACCCGGTCTGCTTTATAGGCAAACCCATGAACGTGGAATATTGTAGGTCTTCGCTGAGGATGCTAGGATTTGTCAAGGGATGAGTTTGGCGTGAAACCAACCCCATCTCCACCAGTTGTCAAAAAGAGCAAAAAGGAGCAAGCGACAGTAACGGGTGGGAAAGGGATTAGTCAAACCCAGCCCGCTGAGACGCCTCAGCACCCGCAGCGACCAAGACTAGATATTCGCGGTGGCAACAGTGCTGAAATGACCCTGTCCGCACCGCGAGTTGTCCAAACCGCTAGGTACATAGTACGGTACTGGATCAGCCAGGAAGCAGTGCAGGAGAATAACAATTTCCTTCTACGGTCTCAGAACTTCCTACCGCAAAGGAGTTCACTACTTCAAGCACTTGTTCTATTGCTGTCTGGGCACTGTTGACCACTTCCGGCGTACGACTGTCAATCGGTAGTGCGATCTGTTCGTATAACCTGAATTATGAGAAATTGTGCTGCCAGAAACTTCGAGAACAATCAGCGTGGCTTATGTCGCGACCAATAGACACATTGCACGAAAGCAAAAAGAGGTTACTGGTAACGAATTCACATTTACTCTTGCAGGAAATAGCTGGAAGACTACTGTGTTACCTTCTATTTTCCTCATTCATATGCTTGAAATAGTTGTTGATCTTTTCCGTTCTTCGAAAATGATCGTGAACAATGCGAAGGTTCTTAAGGTTGGACGTGCCTGTCGATTGTCCTCAAAAACAATAATGAAAATTGGACTTTAACATTCAAAATATCCGTGGCTTCGCACTAGGGTTTACGTCCTCACACGTACATTCTCTACACTAGGTTGCGGACCTTGGACAGTTTCAGGCGTAATGGGCCAGCCTGCTATTCATCAGTTGTGGTCGCCTGCCAGCTTGCTGGAGGCTACGTTGGCACCGCTCCAAGCCTGACCCCGTGAGACGCCCCAGCGCCCGCAGCAAAAGTCTCAATGGGGCGTTGTTTTCCACCGCAGGAGATCCATTAAAGACAGCCCCCGCGCTCGAGTAGTACATGGTCGTCCTTCCTTGTGCAAGTAGTACAGCCCCCAAGCTAGAGACTGTCCCACTCTATTCGTCTGCACAGCGAGCGAGAAGCGAGCTACAGCCGCTGTAAGTTCTAGTTCTAACGCCTGCTCAGTTGGACCGCCTTACTTGCTAGATGTCCTCCGACGGAGGCCACTCAGTTGTTCTTAGTTGGGGCGGCGGGCATTGCTAATGCCCCTGGATAATTCTGCTCTCCTTCATTACAGTTTACTCATTGGAGGTATATACATTCAATTCAACTCATTTCGCGAGGTGAAACGCGTAAAAAGCACGAGTGACGCAATTTTCGTGATGCAAAACCTCGACGCACAAAACGTGCGCTACCGTAATCCCAAATTCAGACACCGCGTTGATAAAATTTTTCCTTCCAAGAGTTTTTCCTCTGCGTTTTTGTTTTCTTTTTTGTATTCTTTTTTTGCACTGGATGATATCAACTTAGAGAGATTTGTGAGCCTAGGGTTGCACAGAGACCGCAGGGAGGTGTGACTGTGAGGGAGCGATTTTGTTTATGTTGTTCTGGAGGACGCTTCTTGCCTGTTTTCTTCTTTGATTACTTATCAGCTACTGTTTCATAATTGGAAAGCAGCTATCCATGAGACTTTTATCGCGGGAGCTGTCTTTAAGCTAACAAAGCCGCCTGCTTGCTGAATCTTTTTACGACGAGACTTGTAATAAATAAGTATGCGCTGAGATTTTTACACCTTTTCTACTGCATCTAGTAATTTTTTCTTAAGAACTTGTTTCTGAATGACATCGCTATTTTTATTATTATTAATGGTACTACTTCTTATAAGACGTAAAAATCTCACCGAGCATCTTTCGGATATATTTCATGGCTATTTGTCGCAGATTGAGTGACGGTTTGACAGCGTTAACATCTGAATCGAATGTAATATCTCTACAACTATTTCGTGTCAAGTAACACAAACTTAAGCCGAATCAACGGAAAGTACGAGCTAAAAAGGCCTCAGAACTGGGTGGGCTATGGGTCTCTGCCATTGAGCAAGGGTAAACTTTGATGTGTTGCAGGACTTTCATTGCAACTTAATATAAATAATTCAAATAAAATTCAACTTATTGGTGAATGAACCGACCTTTCTCAATTTTCCTCTTCACTCTCGTTCGATTTTTGACAATCATTGGAATCAAATGGGAAGTTATTTCTAAAACCGAGGACTCCATAGACGAACTGTTCTTCTGCGCTATTATGTATTTCGACGCTTTCTTCGAACGGTAATGCTTGCTCCGAATTTGAGGCCTTATCGGATTCCGATAGACGTTCCTATATGTTGAAGTGCGATATATCGGGAGCATGTCCTTCTCGTATCCTCCTCGATCTTTCGCTTCTTCAGGGTTGTACTCCAGGAAGGTTTTTCGTTGAGCTGTGATGGTGACAATGGGCTTGGTCTTCCTGCTTCGTTTGGCCTCTTCCTCAGCTTCGGTCTTAGCGTTGTCCCTGGCATCGAAGACTCGGACGGCACATTTCGCCAACGCTACGGTTGATTTGGCATCTCTCACACACTGCTTGTAGACAATCTCTTCTATTTTTGGTAGTTTAGCTAGCAGTTCTTTCGCTCGCGCCTGAAATTTGAATGATTCTTGTTCTGATTACGATCAGTGGAAAAAAAAATGCAGCGACGAAGTTGAGTGCTTTCAATAATATTCCCTGAAATTTAGTAGACACATAAAGTACCTATATATAGATGTATAGATGATCTCACTATATTGAAACATGAGTATTAGATGCCGCCGAAAGAAAAACGGGATTTCAAAAAATTTGAAAACCCAAATATTGTGCCGATTCCTGATTCCTCAAAAATTTGCTAATATAAATTACATTCATTTCCACCGAAGTCAGGATGGGCGTGTCAACGTCGCGTGGGTTTTGAGGCGGAACCACCTCTCCCCCACCTTCATCGGACGCGGAAACCGCAGCGATGGATGAAGAGGTCATACGCCATGTCAAAACACACGCGCCGTTGACACCTCTCCCCCCCCCCTGGATTTTTAATGATGATAACTACAGTTTCTAACCTCCTTGGCGAACAGGCTTGGCTTTTCTCATACGCTTAGATCAATTGAATTTAAGCCTAATTGTTTCATTGTTACTTATGTAATTCTATTTTGTTATTATTATTGTATAATTATTTTATGCTATTACATTGTATTCTATGTTATTTATCTTTTTTATTTTAAGTTTACTGATTTACTGCATACCTTTATCATACCGCGTATCATAGCATTATGCCAGAGGAGTTTGAGATTCTCTACGTTGATTTCGTAGTATTGAGACTTTGTTTTCATTGAATCGGGCAGTGGAGGTTGTTCGGTATGGCACAGTACTGAAAAACTTCAGAAGTAGGAGAAATGCAGTGAAGAGCCAACGAGAGACTGTAGGGAGAAATCTTCTCACCTCCTTGAATCAAGAGTATCAGCGTGTAACAAAAAACTGCCATCCATTCAATTCTGAAAATACAAATACAAGTAAGGGTGTAAGCTCGACTTGCTCGGTAAGCAAGGTGTATAGCAGAAGCGAAATGGTACTGGATCGAAGTGGCGTTTAGTGTGAAACATGCGAAGAGGTTCATCCTGCGTTTATCGTATGGGCGGAGACACAAATGTACTCAGCGATTGATGCTCTTCAGAAGCTCCAAAACTAGAAGCGCACCAGCCAGGGAAGCACAGTGACTCCACCCACTCGGTTTGCTTGAGATGTGCTTTCGAAGGCACCATGCAGGAAGAGTGAAAGAGTGTAGAACAGTGTTCAAAGAAAAACTAAAAATCCAGAGAAGCGTACCTGCGACCACAAAACGCAAGACGAGCAGCTAGAAAGTCCTTCATCGAACTTCCCGCATTCGACTATTAGCACTGTTGAGTACACGTAGAAGAAAGACAAGAAGGCCACAGGAGAGATAGAGGGAGTGAGAGGATGTAACTTAAAGCAGTAACCCATCGCGCCCACTTCAGGGGAAGGCCGCACCCGTGAACCAGGACCAAAACTGAGCCAAAATTGGACTTGACCTCTGCGAGGCTGAGGTGAAAAGTCTGAGGTGAAAACACTGCATTACTCACCCCTTATCTGCTCCAAACTTCCGTAACCAGGTCAGTTTTTTCTGCCGATTTCTCCTAACAGGGCAGAATGGGCTGAAAACCGACCCTCAGCGGTTGTTGGCCCCCTTGTACACGAATGCCACGTCCGCTTGCCCGAG